CGCACGGCGGACGCACGCGTACACAGCGCACGCCACACGCAACACGGCCCACACAACACGCTGTAATGAAACTCATATGGGGGTCTCATATCAATTTCTCTTGCGAGGCGCCGTAGTGGCCGCCACCACGGCAGCACCGGCACTGCCGTCGTGGCGCACTATTTTGAAAAAAGAATCTGCAGGGAACCAAGGAGCAACAGTATGATATACCAAGGAGATGAAACCCCGGGGGGGGGCACTCACCCCCACTTATGGCTATAATTGGCTAGTATACTGTACGTGCCACTGCAAAGCTCAAAAAATGGCCGGGCTCTGCCGAACTAACATCAGACCTGAAAATGGGGGTCTCCTGAAATAATGTTTGTTGCAATGGTATGGCTCTGAAAACTGGCTATGTTTCGAAAAGGGGGTCGGCGGAACTAGGATTTCGTGAAATTCAATGCTATGACAACTGGAACGTTTAAACAAGAGGGGTCTCCGGAACTGCCTGAGATGCAAACGCACACGCACACTCACGCGCACGCACGCACACGCACACACACCACACACACACACACAACACACACACACACACACACACACAGGACAACACACGCACCGGACCGCGCACACATACAACACCACCACACTGGTCACACACAGGGACAACACATCGCACGCACGCACACATACAACACACACCACGATTGCCATATGCTTGCATTGACGGCCACGGCTTCAACGTATCGTGCAAGTACGATGCACTGGAAACGGAAATATAAAAACTTAGGTCTCGCGGAACGAGCAAAAAATGTAAGAGTCTGCATGAGTAACTAAACTAATGCTCTGGAACGAGAGATATTCTTAAAAAATGCGATGCCCACTGCGGAACCGCGAAGTTAGGGTCTAGGCGTTGAAAATTGCGGGGGCGTCTCTCCGCGGCACATACCTACCATGCAATTATAGGAGTGGCCCCCCCCGACGCAGCAAACAATGCAGCAATGTCGAGCAGTGCCCCACCGAGGCACATGTATAGATCAAGGTAGATGAGACAAAGTAAATTTCAGAATCTTGTAAGTTGCCTTCTCAGGCAGAAAACAGAATAAACATTGGAAGTTAAGCAAAAAAAGTATAATGACAGAGATAATAATGCTGACTTGGCAACTGCTCCTGGTGATAGAAGGGCTGATGTCACATTACACAAGGTGCTTTATATCCAGCTGCTCTAAGATTTGGAATGGCTATTTAATATGGGACAATGTGCCTATTCAAATTCAAAACTTCGAAAAAACATAATAACAGATGCGAGGCGCTACATATAGGAAAGGAGCCTGACAATGCCAGATTGAAAAATAGGCCTTGATTTTTCAGAATTAGTACTGATGAGTATATTACAATTTTAAATAATGTTTTCATTAAGTTATCATACCATAATAATATATGTTTAGACATATGCATGGTTCGTACAGCGAGCAGACTGACAATTTTTTCCCTAAGGACTCTGTTCAAGGACTTTCTCAAGACGTTTTATCGGAAATTCGCAAGGGACATTTTATCAGTATTTTATCGGAAATCTCATACACAGCAACAAGAAACATACCTGGATAATTTAATAACGCCCATTCTTTAACACGTGGGGCAGTGTCACCTCTAAAACTTACCTGGATCACACTTAATAAAAACCCTTCTAAACACGGTCACTTCTAACAACATACCTTGATTTACTGACGGCATTTTTACTGACTTACTGTTAATTGTATTGATCATCATATTAACTGTCTATCGTGCCTAAGCTTTTTAAGCTCCATTTAACCGCCAATTTTTATTTGAGCGTTCTTGCACAGTATTGAGTAGGGGCCTACAAAATTGGTATTTTTACCACAGGCCAAGCGATTCTTCTAAAAAATTCAAGGACATTGTTCATGAAGAATTCGAAGGACATTTTCAGTTGAAATTCAAAGCAATGTTTCAAAGCACAACAATCCAACATTTACTAATTGCAAGTAACTTTTCAATGACTCCCCTCAAATTCAAGCCGACTTTTCAAGGACTGTGCAACCATGTGTAGATACTTTAGTCAAAACATCAGCTTTAGCTACCTTCTTCTTTGAAAATTTACAAATTGAGACATTTAAAGCATCAGAATTGGGTTGCTTTCAACATCGGCCTCGAAAATGCAAGGAGGAATACCATTTCCACAGGCTCTCGCCATTTCAAAAATTTTCTGGGGGAGTACCCCCAGACACCCCTCATCGGCCCGCTACATATTTCTGCAGTCGCCACTTTTGGACCGAGGCCACTACGGCCCGGCTGCTTGTTGCAGCCTATCAGCCACTATCGACAGCAGATCAGGCGCGCTCTTAATTAGTATACAAGCCATGCCTTTAATTAATTGAAATCTGCGGTATGTAAAGTATACAAGCATGCGCGCGACGCTAAGTAATTAAATGCGTGTATGGGTAGAAGAGTACATGCATGCTTGTAATTGCCAACCAATCAGACCAACCAATTCAACCAACTTCAACCAATTTCAACCAATTTCAACCAAACCAAAGTCTGACAAATAATTACAAGCGTGGATGCTTAAAGCATAGCATACTATAAATCAACTAGATTTATTGCCTCTGTGTAAAGTTACAAGCAATGCCACGTAATTCCAACCAAATCCAGACTCAGCCTGTGGAAACGCGGGTGGTGCGCGTGTGGAATTACGTGCATGCATGCTAACGTTACATACACGCGCTTTAATTTTGTAAGACTTTGTCTGATGGGTTGGAATTACCAAGCAGGCATGTATCTATACATACACGCATATTCATATAATTACGTGCATGCTTGTAACTACACTTACACGCCATTTAATTAATTAAAGGCAGGCTTGTAAATAATTAAAGACGAGCCTGATCTGCTGTCATATAGCACACCCATGCCATCCAAGGGGATTCAGGTGAGAAGGGTTTTCCAGGCGCGTCCCATTCCGACCACAGCAAAACGACAGCTAGAGAGCCACAATTTGTTTTAAAGTCAATTATTAGTGTAAACATAAGGAATATATATATACAGAAATGCACAATAGGTTTCATGTATGTATGTATCATATATGTATGTTATTGTATGAACGGAAACGGTTAGATCGGTGTTTCGATCCCTTTTTGTTTTTGAAGTTTCCCACCGGTAATTTCACTTTACCCGGAGATTTTGTTTCGGAGCTTCCGGGCTGATTCTACGTAATGTTTAACCTGCTCTACCCAATCCCCATACCATCTATATTCATTTAGCCCCAAGATGGTGAGCATCACCTGCCTTTCCTCCAGCTGTGCAGGGGTGAACCCCACTTCTTGGAGCCTAGCTGTCCCACATGATCTTCCTTAGGTGTTAATTTGTATGCCGGGCAAACTAACAGGAAATACTTTAGGTCTTCTGGTTCTCCCTTATTGCACACCGTGCAATTTTCCTTCCCTTACCATCTCCTGGTTCTTTTATTTACGGGGAGGCATCCCGCTCTACATTGGTACAGCAGCTTACTGCCGATTTTATTATTATTGTAAAAGGTTAATTTTTTGTTTAGGAAATGTTTTCCCTTTATATAGCTCTAGTGTGCTTTTATTTACCATCCCCTTTCTCCATCTGACTGTGCTGCCTTTTATAATGATTTTCTTCACCGTACGCGCGCGTATTGTTCCATGAATCGCTGTTTTCCCAGTTTCTATTTATCAATAACTGTTCTTCGTTATACCTTCCCCCCAGGAATTTTACTCGTCTATTCCAATCCGTCGTAAAATTTCCTGCACTGATAGCTTCCGCTATTCCCCTGCATTTCCTCTCTTCATCCATATAATCAAGAGTAGATAATAATACATCATTAGTGTTATTATCTACTCTTGATATGTTGATATAATTTAATCTCCCTAAATATTTAAGTTTGCGCTTCGCTTCTCTATCCTCAAACGTGGACCATCCAAGCTCCCCCCTTATTGTTTCAATATCCGCGTAAATATTTCATCCAATATTTCATGGGGCACCTAACAGTTTCCTGCCAAGCTAGTTTTGGGTATTTTCAAGGGCTTGCCTAGAGTGCCTATATAGCTGTTCCCTTTTTCTTATCCTTATATATGATTATGTCATTTCCATAGGTTAGGGCAGGTACTGCCTACTGTCTTCCACAGTTCTCTCCCTACCCAGTAACTGCTGCAGCTATAGTATGCCTTCGTTGCTATTATCTCTCGGTATTTTCTTGCCTTTATTCGCACATCACCTTCATGTAGTTCGACACAGTTCTCTATGTTATTGTTTATTTTAATTCCTAGGTATGTGTATTCGTTAACGGTTTTTAGACTTAGCCTCCCTAGTTTGAAATTTGCATCCTCATATTCCGCCTTATTATTATTAAAAATCATGACTTAATTGAGACTTAATGTCTTCGCCGTATATCAGTTTGTAGTCGTCTGCAAAGCCTGCCGCCACATTTAGTAATTCCTGCAGTTCTCTTTTATTATCTGCTATCAAGACCACATCATCAGCATACAGCATCCCACTCATGCTAGTGTAGCAGAGCTCCGTGCGTGCGTGCGTGCGGGCGGGCGTGGAAGATAATGAGTCTGACCATTTGCAACAAGAAAGGTCGTGATGGCAGCAACAGTTATGAGAATTATAAGCAGCAGGCATCGGATGCGGCAATTAAATATGAAGATGAGCAGTGATCAGGAGGGTGAAATAAGCATCATTATATAATTACGAGCGAAAGTTAGGAACAACAGAAGGGACGCGACGTCATCGGGCAATAATAATTACACAATGCGCGAAATCACAATGTATTTTTTTCAGCACAACGGCGCTGCGTTTTGCTGTGTCGTGTTGTGCCGCGTGTGTGGAGACGGGCCTTAAGCCTATATACATGGTGGTACATTATGGGTAACTAATAATGATATTCAGCCTTTCTAAAAACATACATTCCATTTTTTTAATTGATATATATAACATATCACACTGAATATACAAATCTCGGCTGTTCAATAAAACTGCATGCCAAGCTTACAGGTGGGCACTTTTCTTCTGCCAGTATTGAAATTTAGTATTTGGCTTCTTGTCAATATGTATTGAGCAAAAAAGGTATACTCTACGAAATACACCTAAAATATATATTTCATGCAGAATTTTAAAAAAACGTATTGAAAAATATATGATGCAGCTGAACAAACCCCTCTTCCTCTTCCAATTTCTTATTAGACTAACAACAACTAGCCCTTTTCCTGCAATTGAGAAATAATGACAGAAGTTGCTATTCTTAAGACTAATTACCCTCCCAGTCAAATCTGGACCTAAGCCTGTAAGCAGTATTTCAGTGCATCCCACTACTTATACCAAAATAGGAAGCCCATTTATAAGAACATGTCTCAAAAAGTCTATCTAAGACTAAAAAAAATCTACAAAGTAGGATTGTAACTATAATCCTATGGAAGTGTATCAACTGGAATTCAGCTGTATTCAACATAGAGTACTATCAAGAATATATACACAGATTTTACTGATTGTAGACTGTTATGTGTAGACTGCTATTAAAGTAATATCATTCTTACATACATGTGAATCCTTTATATAAGAAAAATAATTTTGGTGACAGACCCTACATCTAAAACGCTTACTGGTAGTGAGAACTTTCATAAAAACGTCGACAAGAAATCGCAAATTTTCCCGACATTTTACATAGTGGCACACGGCCTGTTCTAGCGGCACTCCGCAATACTTACACCAACTCAACCGACCTACGCGTTACACGTCAGTGCCACACGGTGACGACACGACCGTTCGGACACCGATTAGGTGCCTCGAGTGCCATCTCGAGGCACTTGGCCTGCAGCTCACAGGGCACCGTATGCATCAGCAAGATGTAGTGGTAGTTGCACGCCTGCCAGGTGGCGCTGTAGCTCGTGAAACGGCCGCTGTTGATCGGCGCGACACCGAGGCGCGCCGCGATGACGCCGACAAACGCGTCCTCGTTCGGGAACGGCCGCACGAGCCGAGCTGCACGCGTGATGTCGCGGAGCACGTCCGCCGACAGCACGTACCCGGTCCCGCTCGCGTAGCGCGGATACTCCGCCAGCGGATACTCCGCCGGCGTCACGTGCCACTTGTTCGCGGCGCCGCGAATGACGGCGCGCGATGCCGGCGAGCGGCCGACGTACAGCCGACGTCGCGGCGATGCGGCGAGCAGCGTGCGCAGCACGGGCACGTTCACGAAGCAGTCGTCGTCCGTCTTCAGCAGGTAGTCGGGCCGGCACGCAGCCGCCGCCCACGCCATCCCGTGCAGCACCTTCAGCGTCAGATTACGGTACGTATCCGCGTAGCGTCCGAGCAGCAGGTCGTTGTGGCGACTGCGCTCCGCGGCGACGGCGGCGGCAACGTCGCGATCGCTCGTGACGCCGACGAGGAAGACGACCTTGATTGCCGGCTCGCCGACCTTCGCCCACGACTCGCGTATCGCGCGCCGCCGCCGTGCGTTCGCTGTCGCCGACGTGACGAGGATGAGCGCGAGCGTGCGCGGCGCGCAGCGGGGCGTGCTCGGCGAAATGTCGCCCAACTCTTCAGGGTCCCAGACGGGCTCATCATTGAAGAGGTGAGCCGCGAGGGCCAACCTGCCGGGCTCCACGCCAACATCCACAAGACTCTCGATCTTCCACTGCTTGCGAAATGCCGCGGCGTCTCCATGAGACGTCGCGGCGACGAGATCCGGGTAAAACGGGACGAGGTAGCCGGAGCCGATGAGGACGAAGACAAGCACAAGAAGCAGGCTGAACAAGCAAAGTAGCTGTCTGCAGCACCGGTTAGGGGGAAGAGCCTCACCTGCACCCCATGCTCTCGCACCAAGGGGCACCCGAAAAGGACAGTTGGCACACTGGTGATGTTTAGGTATCATGTCTTCACAGCTGCACGTAGCATTTAAGCAGGTTCACTGTTCATGTAATTCCTGCAAAAAATACGGCGGAAAAATATTAATTAGCACACAACACTAAATTATTATATAGCTGAACTTTAATTATCTCTTTAATACAGTCACTTGGATTATGAAAAACCGTCTTTATGAGATTCATATTAGTTATTACTAGCACTGTAGGGCCTGTAGCAGTTGCTGAGTTAGCCCAATACTATTACTAGAGCCAATACAGAAGCAATACCTACGTACGGGCCTACTCAAGTCTCAAGACGTCAAAGCTGGTAGCCGTGCAAGTTAGCTAATTTGTAAAACTACTACTAGGTAACAATAACGGGCTTACAACGTTTGACTCCGTGCATATTCACCACGACTGTAATGGCGTGGTGCGACGTACATCTTGCTCATCTTGCTCACTACATCTTGCGTTCACAATTTCCTCTACTCTTCCTCTCAAATTTAATGGCAACCGCGAGTGACCTCGTCGGACGGGTCGTACATATGTCATGTGACGTACGGTCGTACCTTGGGCAGCAGCGCCCTTCATTCCTCTACTTTACCCGTACCAACGATGTTGCTGCGTAGGATAAACGCCAGGGCAGCAAAACCCTCCAGCTGTATTTATTCAATAAATCGCTGGCGCGCTTATAGATGCGCACGTCCGTCTCTTTAGTTTGTTAGTACTCTAGTAAAATGAAGACAGGGGCACATCTAGCGCCCGAGCTGCCAGGCCGCATGTGCGTGATCATAGCAAACTGCATATAGTCCATGTAGTGCCCATAGAAATAGAATATTCTATTCTATTCTATTCTATTCTCTTCTCTTCTATTTCTGTGGTAGTGCCCCTTCGTACACTCACTGATCTATCAGTATCACGCATGCACGCACACGCACGCACGTACAGCGGACGCACGTACGGACGCACGACGCACGGTATCACAACGCGTACCACGCACACGCACACAACACGTGTAATGAAGACTCATATTGAGGGGTCTCATAATGCATGTTCTCGTTGGGGCCGTAAGTGGGCCGCCACAGGCAAGCACGCGCACTGAGCCGTGGCACTATTTTGAAAAAAAATTCTGTGCAGGGAACCAAGGAGCAACATATTGATATTACAAGAGATGAAACCCGGGGGGGGGGGCACTCACCCCGTACGAAAACAATTATGTACGGTTTATATGGTGCCACTGCAAAGTCAAAAATGGGGGGCTTGGAACTAACTCAGCACCATGAATAATGGGGTCTCTGAAATAATGTTTGTTTGATCGAATGTGGGTATGCTCTGGAACCTGGCTATATTCGAAAATGGGGGTCTTCCGGAACTAGGATTTCGTTGACAATTCATGCTATGACAACTGGAACGTTTATAAAGAGGGGGTCTCCGGAAACTGTGGGGGTGGGCGGAACAGTGATTGCTTTAAACATCTATGCAGTTAGCCACTGAACCACTCACTGTTGTATTATGTAGAGGAGAAAAAAACACTTGAACGGAGAGAGATGAAACGCACGCACACTCACGCGCACGCACGCACGCAACCCACACACACACACAACACACACACACACACACACACCACACACACACACACACACAACACCACACACCCACACACACACACACACACCCACACACACACACACACACGCACGCACGCACACATACAACACACACACACACACACAACACACGCACGCACGCACACATACAACACACACACACACAGACAACACACGCACGCACGCACACATACAACACACACACGTTGCATATGCTTGCATTGACGGCCCGGCTTCAACGTATTCTGAAGTACGATGCACTGGAACGGAAATATTAAAAACTAGAGTCTCCGGAACGGCAAAAAATGTAAGATCTGCATGATAACTAAACTTAATGCTATGGAACGAGATATTCTTAAAAATGCGATGCACTGGAACGGAAGTTTAGGGTTATGGTTGAAAATGGGGGTCTCTCCCGCGGCACATACCTACCATGCAATAATATGGAGTGCCCCCCCCCCCGACCGAGCACGACCCAGTTAAGGCTCAACAATGCAATGGTCATGCATGTGCACCGAGACATGTTAGACAAGGTAGATGAACAAAATGTAATTTCAGAATTTGTAAGTTGCCATCCAGGCAGAAAAGATAAAATTGGAATAATAAAAAAATATAATGACAAGTTATCTGATTGGACTGTCTGGTATTAGTATTACAATTAATACTGATCAATTAGAGGTGTTATATTAGTGCTCTAAGATTTGGAATGTGTATTTAATATGACAATGTGCCTATTCAAATTCAAACTTCAAAACATACAGATGTAGGCCCTACATATAGTGAAAGTATAAATGCAGATTGAAAATAGGCTTATTTTTCATAATTATGTACTGATAGTATATACAATTTTGTAAATAATGTTTTATTAGTTATCATACTCATAATATATATTTTAGACATATGGTTCGTACAGGAGGACTGAAATTTTTTCCAAGGACTTTTCAAGGACTTTTCAAGGACGTTTTATCGGGAATTCAAGGACATTTTATCAGATATTTTATCGGAATTCATACACAGAACAAAACATACCTGGATTAATTTAATAACCCCATTCTTAATCACTGCATGTCACCTCTAAAACTTACCTGGATCACATTAATAAACCCTTCTAAACACTGTCANCGGTCTTTATAGATTTTTGCTTTCTACCGCATTTTGTTGTCAAGCTGCATGTCTGGCTGCATGATAGGGGCTTGTGCTCCACAGCGGACAGAGTGGTTGCTTTGCTGCCGGCCCCCAATCAGTGTCATTTTAGCGGTACGTCTTGCTCGTTCCTCCCTTGAAGCACCCTATCTCAGGATCCTGCTCCTTTAACTCTCTGAATTCCCCTCTTTCGCGGGCATCTCTTTGCGACGGTTATATTCCTGCCTCTGGAGACCCCATAACATCCGAATAATAATCCTGCTTAATGAAGCCTTTTCAAAACCTAGCAAGGCAATTTCAGGATATTTTGTCCCCGGGATTGTATAAGTTTTCTATATATATTCAAGATGAAAAGAGAGAGAAGAGGAAACCCCATTTTTAAGAAAATTCCAGGTGAAAGTCAATACACCCCTTTTTTTACATCTTGGCCGGATTTTGTCCGCGCCGAAAATCCCTTTACGGAGATTTGCCGAAGCTGGCATTGCGGTCCCTCTCGTTTTAACCTCGTTAGTGGGGGGCTCGGGCTCTTTGCTGTTCAGCGTATTTCGTTGTACGCATATAACATAAATAAAAAAGTACAGTAGTCCATAATGCGGTTTAGATGTAGCGAGTATTTACAATGTTTAAATTATTATGAAATGGAATATATAAGGTTTTGAGTATAGTCATCAATACAAGCGCAACAATACAACTATACAAGCGCAACGAATAATTAAAATTTTAAATGATAGGTGGCTTTTGTTCCTTGTAACACTGGGCAAAACGCTCTCCAGCATGGCGGTACTTCTGTTAAAAGGGCGATAATTTCAGGATTGAATTCTAAAGAATTATGAGTTGTAGACTTAAAGTACACTTTCCGATGGGCCTCTGATCGTTTCATAGCGTATGCCATAATTATTTCCCTATTTACTTGCTTTGAACATAATTAACGTCAACAATATCGTGGCTTTATGAACCACCACTGTATTCGCTGTAGTTGCATGCTTGATTTAATCGACATCTTGGTTCGGTGTGCGCACTGTTCTTGTACATTTGCGGCTTACCTTTGCTTGTATGTCGTTTCATCTGTGAACATTTGATAGTTCTAACGCTTTAGTGACATATACTAAAATAGAGATCGCAATTATATGACCTAGGCTTTTTATGTCCCGTCGTTTTGTCAACTAAGTAACTATATATACTCTCTCTTGCTTGACAGTTATTCTATCAATATGTGCATTGGAAAGTATATTTCAACACTTGTTACTCTTTTTTCGTCTTGATTCTCCTTTCTGAATATATGAACACCATTAATGTTCACTCCTGAAAATCGTATTTGATAGCTTCTTCATCATATGTATTTGAATTGGACACTCGCGGATTCCGCTTACAGTTTTCACGATGAGATGCATGTTATTTCAGACACAAACTCTTGAACTATGGGATTAGTTTTGTTCTATCTGTCTTAACCCGTGTTTCGTGAAACTCTAGCTTACTCGTGTTCGTGATATTCAATATAACTCTTCTTGACGCTAACACCTACGATTTTCAGTTGTACATTTATTCTCGGTGCTTATGAGCGTGTTACGCTGGTCGGGCTCCCTGTTGAGTATGCTGGACTCCGCTTCGTGGCTGCGCTGTCTCCATGGATACGTGGATGCCATACATTCTCATTTTTCTGCCCGCTTTGCGAAATCGTTGCGTCTGTTATTACATTCGCTCGCTAATATCCCTTTACGAGCCCTCTTCCAAAGTTCCGTCTCTTGAGACAATATAGACACTCAATCCGATGGGGCAGTTTAGTCGTTAAAAGCATTGGCATTGCATGCGTGAACTGTGCGAACGCGGTAGTGCTTATCTACAGAATAATTTTGAAGAACAATACCGATTTCGGTAATTTGGGTGTGTCATTGATTAAGGGCGAATCATAGTACGAAAACACAGGTAAATTTTGACTATAATTTGCATTTCGGCCATATTGCAACTAGAATATTTACAATATTGAACACTTATGCAAAGACGCGTGTTCAACCGTGTCATACTATTCTCTCCTGTATTACTCTTTGCATTGAATGTTTGTGCTAGTTCTTGTATTCGCCGCCACAACTTTAACTCTTTAGTTTTATTATGACATTATTATTCACGGAGTTGAACTGCCGTCGAAATTTAGTAGTGATTAGGTTACGGCGTCAATCGAGCTAAACTTAGGGCCATGAAGTATGAGATTTGATTTCGAATATTTTTTTAGGTTAATATAAATACTACTCCTAGGCGCTGCTACGCTAGGTAACAACTGACTGTAAGCCTCTCGAGTTCGATCGCGGTTCTGCGATATTTAGCCTCTCGATTCGCATCGCCGCTTCTCCTCGATATTAGCCTCTTGAGTTTCGATCCGGTTCTCGATATTAGCTCTCGATCGATTCAAAATATTGAAATATTATTTCTTATTTTTTATATTTTCATTATTTTGCATATAATAATTATTTAGCAAATTTGTCAATGAATACTAAATGGTGATATAGACTAGAGAACTAGAGAGAATATATATATATACCTGCACAGGCCGCTGGTACATTGGATGAGTAACACTTCCATAAAGTATTATAGCCGTTAGTGCCGCCAATATTTATTCTCTTGGTAGCAAGAAAAGTTTGGTATCGATCAGTGAAGTGGAATCGAAAATACGGGGGAAAATATTGAGGATCGGATTGAGGGAAGAGACTCTCGATCCGATTCGATTTGGTGGATCGTTATAGCCCTAGTAAATAATAGTATTAGTATTAATACATTATTAATATTAATTAGAAAATTGAAAAAAAAAAGGTTCAATCTTTGAAACGTTTTTACTACGTTTATATCAGAGCGTAATCCAAATCCTAGTGTATGGATACATTTGATTGACATAGTAATTTCTCTTCTAGGGTTGAAGGCAGATTTGGTCTCCAGATTACATGCTCACTATCGAGAACAGGTGAGTTATGCTGCAGCTGTGTACGAAGTTTTTTAACAGTCGACTCATGATAATTATATCTATGCTTTTTACATTTTATGCATAATCAACTTGATTAGTGTTAGTTAACACGTTTTTTAGCAACAAATCATTTGTTTATGGCTTATTCTTAGGCCATGAGAATTGAGGTATGAGTTTACCGTCCACCGCCCGCATGCCGTCAGAGCCACCGCCGAAAATATTCATTATTTTCATTTTTAGCTCGTCTGACGAAGTCAGGTGCAGCTTGTAGAATCGCATGATCGTTTGTGCCACAGGCACTTGAAGCATTTCAATAAAATATAATGTTAACTAAATACGAAATCTATTTACTACAAAATTCTTAATGTTTCTATAGTATAGGCTTACTCTCTTTCACCTATTATTGCCGATAGTTTCCTACCATTGCATTACCGGCTGCCAATGCTCTCGCGGCGCGACTGTTGCACGCTTACACTAATATATAGAGCAGGTAAGAAAGCGCGATCCTAGAATTCGCTCGACGCTCGCTGCATTTCACACGATTTCAACACAAATACACATCCAACAGCTTCCATCTTTGTTTCTCCTTCAAGAACAGTGTTCACTTGTTATAAAAACATAATGTCTCTGTTCGTAACCGAGCTGTGTCACGCGAGATCACACAAAGACTGACGAAATTCTCGCGTTCGCTAGCACTGCGCACTGGATGTTACAAACTTAAGTACATGGCTAAAGGCGGCGCACTGCATTTTGGGAAGCAAAAAGTTGGGCACAAATCTAAACGGCTCGACGTACGGATTCGAAAGTCGGGAAGTGGGGGGGTAATCCGAAAACGAGTTGGGATGTCAAAGCTGGGGGTTAAAGGTCAAAGGTCAAGAGGTGTAAAAGAAGGGGGAACATTCCCTCCTTAACTTAAGGTATAGGGAGGAAATGCAGAATTGTGGCACAATTCTAAACCGCTCGACATAGGCTCTTGATAGTCAGTGTATAACATCATGGTAGGAAAAGCAATCACTGTGTT